TCAACATGATCCATTACACAGTTCGCTAAAGACAGAGCTCGAAAGAAAAATGAGGTAGATGTATAATTGTTTTTACAAAACAAAACATGAAATAAGTTGCATATAAATTTTTATATTTAAATTTTGATACCTACTTCATTGAAACTTTTTAAATATATCAAAATAAATGTTTTTGGAAAAAATGAATGAAATCTATTGTTTTACTAAAAGTAAAATCAATTATTTTAATAGCAATAAAGTAAAATATAAGTATATTGAATAYAAATTTCCGAATCTATTACACTGACTCACACGACACATAATGTACAGCAAAGCAGTTCCCACTTGTCAACATTTTTATTTTGTTATAATTTATAGATTGTTAGAACTTGGTGGAATTAGATTGAAATTATTAGTTTTCTTTATTTACTTTTTACTATCGTTTTAACAAATACTGTACCTAATTGATAAATATAGTACTWATAACTAATGTTCTATGCTAATATTGAATTATTAAATCATAATTTAATCTTAATGTTTGACTATTTGAAGTTGCCAATTTTGTATGTCTATGACACGTCCTGGAATCACGGAAAAAAACCACAAAAAAAAACCAAAGGAATAAAAGACCATGGAAAATAAAAACCAAATTTTTATATTATTATGTCATATTTCATTAGACGTAAGTTTTAATTTTCTAATTAAAAATGTAGATCAATAATTCAATTGTCCAGATGTTCTATCTGTTGAATACTTTCGTAACCAAATTTGTAAATTTTGAATAATTAAAAATAATATATATATTTTTATATTTAAAAATAATATTTAATTGTTATTTTTTTGTGTTTAATTATGGAAATAATTACATCTAATAAAAGAGAAGACAAAATAGCGTTTAAAGGCAATATGTTCGTTATGAAATACGCGGGAAAAAAATATTATACATGGWGATGTATATAGTAAAAAGAGTTCTTTAAACTGTCTTGCTATTCTCCACAYCACTATACTTTTAACACRCCCAGTACTCAAAGTAATGCATGAGCACTCAGCTGAACCAGCAAAAATTGATGTAGCATAAGCCATCAATAAAATTAAAGAGACTGCGAAGTAGTGTTCTGGAGCTAATCCGTCACAGATATACAGGGTGTCCCAAAGAGATCTGACATTCTGACAAATGAAATAACTTTTGTTCTAATCAATATTT